AGAGTCGTACACTGAATTACATCCTACTCCAGACAGCTCCTCTCCCCCCCCAGGAGACATTCATGTTGGTGAGGGAGCAGAATGACAGCAGACAGCCTGCTTGTCTTGCACACAGCTGATCCAGGTTCTAGCACCCCATAGAATCCTCCAAGCCCACCAGGGGTGATCCCTGAAGAGAGCCAGATGTGGCCCATCCCCCTCCCCCAAAAAGGTTAACATTGGGGACTAAGTGCATGATTTGCTAGTGGGAGACCCAGGTTCAATAGGTGGCAGCTCGGGTAGCACCTCCCAGGTGTGGAAACGGGAGTCGCCCCTGTGGTGCTAGCAGGGTGTGGGGCAGAAAGCGACACGCAGAGAGAATCACGCAGGAAGCTCGAGTTTGATGCCCGGCATGGCTAAGTGTGACCCCAAAACTAAGATTAAAAAAAGTTGATGTTGAGTTCCTGCTTATTCCCGAGTGGGACCTTCTGCTGCATGCTTATTACTGGTCTGGGGGCCACTCCCAGAACTTTCTCTAGGGCTGCTCCTGGTTCAGTGCTCAGAGGCTGCGCTCAGCAGCGGTCAGACAGCCTGGCAATGCCTGAAATCAAACCCAGGCCTCTGGTGTGTAAAGTGGACACTGGCCCTTTAAGCTGGCACCCCGTCTCCTGTATTCTTTAGACAGTATCTTTGTTTTGTTCTTGGGTCACACTAGGACGTGCTCAGGTCTTGCTCCTGGCTCTGTGCTCAGAAATCGCTGCTGGCGGGGCTCTGGGAGTGCCGGGGAGTAAACCAGGGTCAGCTGTGTGGGAGGCAGATGCCCTGCTCAGTGAACTATCTCTCTGGCCCCAGCATTCTTGATTCATTCAACAGAGATTGGCCTTCTTATCAAGTCATGTTTCATTTACTTGTGTGTGGTGGGCGCATACTTGCAGTGCTCAGGGCTCACTCCTGGCTTTGTGCTCAGGGACCTCTGGTGGGGCTCAGTGTCAGGGACCCAAACCGGGATGGCCATGTGCCCAGCAGCGCCCTCCGGGTTAAACTAGCCCCCCGACCCCTGTGTCCTGTTGGCAGTGCCCGTATTCCAGGGATTGGGGTGCAGCCCTCCAAGTAAACAGACCTGTGCTCCATTGGCTGGTGCCAGGTCAGTCCGTGACCTGAGAAAGCGCAGCCGTGGGGGAGTAGGGAGTGAAATCGGGCTGGCGGGCAATATATTCAGCTCAGTCGGGGGGGGGGGGGGGGGGCAGTGGCAGGGCATGGTCACAGCCTGGACAAGGAGAAGCCAGGCAGTGTGTGGGGAGGTGTGGGGGGAGTAAACCCCGGTGGAACTCTCAGGGCTTGGCTTGGACTCAGCCCGCATGCGGAGACGTGAGCAGATGTGCATTTCTTGGTGTTTTTCATTTTTATTTTCGGGGCTCCACCCAGCAGCGCTGGTCACTTTGGGTGATTCTCGGGAACCACGTGGTCCAGGGATGGAGCCTGGGCATCCTGCCTGTGCAGCTTGAGTTTAGCCTGTGAGCTCTCTCCAGCCATTCTTCTCTTTTGTCTTTTCAATTATTTATTTTTTGTTTTGGGGCCACTCCCTGTAGCCCTCCAAGTCTGCCAGGAGTGATCCCTGAAGAGAGCCAATGTGGCCCATCCCCCTCACCCCCCAAAAAGGTTAATATTGGGGATTAAGCGCAGGACTGTAAGCCCCGGTGGTACTCAGGGCTTCCCCCCCCCCCCCCCCCCCCCCCCCCGGGCTCTGCCCTCAGGGCTCAGCTCTGACTATGCTCAGGGGGCCGTGTGCAGGTCCCAGGGGTTGAACCCAGGATGGCTGCCTGCCTGCAAGGCAAGCGCCCTTTCCCCTCCTCTTCTCCCCCCGCGGTTGTCTGTCAGGTCCTGTCCCCGTGTATTTAAAGGCTCCTATTAGCTTCTGTACTTGCTGCTGAGTGAGTCCCCCAAGTTTAGGGTAGCTGCCTCCAGTGGGCAGGTGTGGAGGACCAGGCTGCGTTGCCCAGGAGAGCTGCCAGGGGGCGCTGGTGAGTTGCTGAGTCAGGATAGGATGGCTGCATCCTTTTTTCCTGCTTCCTTTCCTCAACTTTTTCTTTATTTTTTTTTTTCTCTTTGGGTCACACTCGGCAATGCTTAGGGGTTACTCCTGGCTTTGCACTCAGGAATTACTCCTGGCGGTGCTCAGGGGACCATATGGGAAGCTGGGACTAGAACCCGGGTCGACCGTGTGCAAGGCAAACGCCGTACCCGCTGTACTGTCACTCTAGCCCCTCGATTTATTATTTTATATTATCTTGGGGGTTTTGTTTGCTTTATGATCTCATCAAGCAGTGCTGCGGGGCCACTGTGGGGAAGCTGGGGGGTCTGGGCTGGAACCCGCGCACGGGCACACCCCAGCCCTTGGAGATTGTGGTCCCGGACTGCAAGGACGGAGCTGTCCTATGGGGGACAGGCATAGACTGCAGGGACACTGAGAGGACCGTGACTTAAATCGCCTCTTTAATCTGCCCAGATCCTTGTTAATCCTGTTTCCTATGGAAGGAAACGTCTGCACTGCTGAAGTAGATGACTGGTTCTAAGCAGTGCCTGAGAACCCCCTAGGAACCACTCCCAGAGACCAAAGGATTCCATGCTGGGTCTGACCATGTGGTCCTGAGGGCAGCCAGGGTACGGTCTTGGGGTCCTTGGGGGTTCAGGAAGTCATGCAGTGAGGGGGGGGGCGCGTCAAGCCTGAGATACCCCCCAGGCTTCTCTACTGTCTCCCAGTGTTCCCTCCATCCCTTGACTTTAGGGAGGATTCTATTTCTTTATCTTCTTTAGTAACAAATTTTATTAAAACATGCAGTAGCAATTTATTTAAACAGTTCTTTGAGCGAAGTATTGCAACATGTGACCGCTACAAAATGACTACAAATAAGGTATTTATATTCTTTCAGGACCCCATCAAAGTCAGCACCAGGGTGCAGTGGGAAGAAACTCCTTGACCCCCCACAAAAGCTCCCCAGGGTGATGGTGTGTCTGGAGGTGCTGAGGAGAGGCTGCACCCCAGTGGGGGCCTGACTCTGCCCCCTTTCCTCATGTCTCCCCCGGTAATTGGCACCAGTGAGGTGGTGACTTACAGACCCAGCGGAGAAGAGCACTTGATCTCAGTTTTGGTTTTGTGTTGTTTTTGAGGGGGGAATTCACCTGGGAGTACTCTGGGCTTTTTCCTGCTTCTGTGCTCAGGGGTCTTTCCTGGCAGTGCTCTGGGGAGCATTCAGGATGCTGGGGATCGAACCCGAGTTGGCAGTGTGCAGAGCAAGTGCCCTACCTGCTGCACTCAGCCCCAAGGGACACAGGTTTGTTTTTTTAGGTTTGGGGGCCTCACCCAGAGATGCTCAGGGGCCCTTCCTGGCTCTGTGCTCAGGAGTTATTTCTGGAGGTGCTCAGGGGACCCTATGTGCTGGGGATCGAACCCGGGTCAGCCGTGTGCCAGGCAAATGCCCTCCCCACTGGACTGTCTGTGGTTTAAACAGCGGCGTGTCCCCATGAAGGACCGGGAGTGGGGAAACCATAGATAAAAATAGCATTTACTAGTTAGCCGGAAAACAAGATGTTTTTGCAGTCACTGGTTCCACAAGAACATAATTGGGTCCCAAGGCAGGGAATGACTCGTTTCCATGAATGATTATATTGATCATGGGAGCCAGATGGATGCACCCTCTTCAGAAGGCCCCGCACAGGCAAAGCGCCAGGCCAGTCCCGGGCGCCAGGCACCGTGTTCCTATGGATGAGGGGCTGCGGCTCGTGAGGGAGCCTGGCTGGGGCTGTTCATGGGCCGTGCCTGCACTTAGCTCTCTGGGAGGAGACAGGGTGGGGGGATCCATTCAGATACTCCTCCCTTTCCCATTCTATTAGTTCAGTGGCAGCCAAGCAGAGCGATCTAATAGAGAAGGTGTGGGAGTCGCTCTGGAGCAGCAGGCAGGGCGCTCACCTTGCACGTAGCCCACCCACGTGAATCCTGGCACCCTGCATAGTCCCCCGAGCCCACCAGATGGGATCCTTTGAGCACAGAGGCAGGAGTAAGCCCTGAGCACCGCTGGGTGTGACCCAAGTAGAAATGAGAAAGCTTGAGCTGAGTGAACCAACTCTTGTTTGTCCTTTTTCGGGGCTGGAAGTCGGGGCATCCCAGGCGTGAGGCCAGTGCTCTGAGCTCCGTCCCTGATCATTAACTCTGTGATCTGGGAGTTTGGAGCAGGGGACGCTCCCGTCCCGGGAATGAATCCAGCCCCAAGAGGGAGGAGAGCTTTGGGAGTGACCGTGGGGTTTCACCGGGCACTTCTTCTGTCTCGCCCTGACTTGCTGGGTGGGGGTGAGCCCCAGCACATCTGTTGGTAGGTTGGGCCTCTGTCACCCCAGGCCACCCGAGCATCCAGCCCACTTTCCAGGTGCCTGTTTGTGCCCCCCTTACCTCTCCCCCCTAGCATTTACTGAATCCTTGAAGGGAGATAAATTCATTTGCGTCTTCAGCGCCAGCAAGGTGTAATTAGGCGAGTAAATCTTCTGTCTGACAGCAGCAAAAGGCCCGTGATCGATTCCAGGGCGCGGGAGGGAGGGCGGGAGACACCCCACCCGCCTCCCGATTCAGCTCTCTGGCCTGAGAAGCAAGTTTATACCGGGGGGGACCCTGATCCCTGCACTGACTGCCTCCCCAGGGACAGGGAATGGGCTGAGGTTGGAGAGGCATAGGCCCTGCCGCTCACCCCACTTCCTTTCCTGCCCCTCCCGGGCCTGGGATTCTGCGAGACAGGGTCTACCCACCCCCCTTGTTCCCTCTGAGCCTTTGGCCCCGCAGCCTTGGACCAGCAGGCGCTTCCCTCCTGGGAGCTCTGAGTGCTGGGGCGTTGCCCCGGGTCCTTGCTTTTCCCCAGCCTTTGGCACCTGGGGTGTCTCGAGCTCAGTACTGTGCAGTGCCCACTACTGTCCCCTCTCGCCTCCTCTCTCCCTCGTCCCTCTCCCACGCTGACCAGGTGGCTCTTCTCCTGCAGGTGCGCGGTCCGCTGTCTTTCCTACGTGGCCCCGCGGCAGCAGGCCTCCATCCCCAGCGAAGATGTTCCTGGTGGGGCTAACGGGGGGCATCGCCTCTGGCAAGAGCTCGGTGCTGCAGGTCTTCCAGCAGCTGGGCTGCGCTGTCATCGACGTGGACGTCATTGCCCGGCACGGTGAGTCAGGGTGGCCAGCATTCCCCTCCCGGCCGCTCAGACCCCTTGCTCCCCCCACCACACCGGCCCAACTCTGCCCGTCTGGAACCATTTGTTTCCTTCGCCGAGCCCCATGTTTGGGGGACCACGTGTGGTGCCAGGGATGGAATCGGGGTTGCCCACGTGCAAGGGAAATGCTTTCTCTGCTGTCCTGTCTCTCGGCCCCTCCCCTCATCTTGCTGCCCCCTGTAGCACTATAGCACCTTTGTTCATCGATTTGCTCCAGTGGACACCAGTAACGTCTCCATTGTGAGTTATTACTATTTTTGACATACTACCCCCCTGTATCTTTTTTTTTTTTTTTTTGCTTTTTGGGTCACACCCGGCAACGCACAGGTTACTCCTGGCTTTGTGCTCAGGAATTACACCTGGCAGTGCTCGGGGGGACCATATGGGATGCTAGGAATCGAACCCGGGTTGGCCGCGTGCAAGGCAAACTCCTTACCTGCCATGGTATCCCTCCAGCCCCCATTTTCTATCTGTTTATTTGCGTTACCATGATCTCCAGTTTGACAGGGCTTCGTACATAGTGTTCCCACACTCTTCCCCAGGGTCTGCTTCCTCCCACTATTGTCTTGGGGTTCCCCCCTCCCCTGCCCCCCCCCCTCCCCCCCCCCGCCAACTACCATCCCATGTCCCTGCCGTAGTAAGCTCTGTTCCTAGACCTGGTCTCAGGTCCTGGTGCCTCTGGCTGTTTGCTGCTCCCTTACTCTGCTCCTTTGTGCCCCCGCCCGCCTGAGAGATGATTCAGGTCTGTCCCCCTCCTGGCTGGCTTCACACAGCACCCGCCCTCCAGTCCAGCTTCTCATAGCCAGGCGTGCCCCTCCCCGTCATTCGCTTTGTCTCTGGGGCTCCTCTGGCTGACCCCGCCTCTTGCCGCTGCAGTGGTCCAGCCTGGGTACCCGGCCCACCAGCGCATCGTGGAGGCCTTCGGCCCTGAGATCCTGCTGGAGAACGGGGACATCAACCGCAAGGCCCTGGGGGACCTGGTCTTCAAACAGCCCGACCGGCGCCATCTGCTCAACACCATCACACACCCCGAGATCCAGAAGGAGATGATGAGGGAGACCGTCAAGTACTTCCTCCGGGGTGAGCCGCGGGCTAGGCCGGGTCCACTTCCCCTCTCCCCGGGGGCCGGGGGCCAGGCAGGGGAGCCAGGGCAGCCAGGAGCTGCCGGGTTCACGGTGAGTATCACACCAGCCACAGCCGAGAAAAGCCCAGCACGTGCCCCTCCACTTGCGACAAGGTTGGCAGTCCATGAGGAAAACACACTCGAGGCTTTTATTTCCCCCTTCTGGTGTTTGGGCCACACTCGGCAGTGCTCATTCCTGACTCTGCACTCAGGGATCCCTCCTGGCGATGCTGGAGCCCAGGTCCCTATGCGGTGGGTGTGCTAGAAGCACGTTCACCTGTGCGCTATCTGTCCAGACCCCCCGAGGCCAGCTGCTCAATACCATCTTTGTTCTTTTTTTATTTGGGGGGGGCACACCCAGCATTGCTCTAGGCTTACTCCTGGCTCTGTGCTTAGAGATCACTTTTGGCAGGACTTGGGGGAACGTGGGGTGCTGGGAACGGGATCCCGATCTGCTGCGTGCAAGACCAGTGCTCTCCACCTGACCCCTGTACTCTTTCCAGCTCTTCCCTAGGCCCCAGCGTGAGGGGCTGCTGCTCCCGTTTCACATGCCAGGCCGGGGAACACAGGAGGTTTCTTTTGGTTTTATTTTTTTTGTTCAGGGGTCACACCTGGCTGTGCTCAGGGATCACTCCTGGCAGCTTCGGGGGACCCCGTGGGCTGCATGCAGAACAAGTGCCTTACTCCAGCCCCTGAGGTTTCTTTTGTTTTTTGCTTTTTGGGCCACAGCCAGTGATGCTTGGGGGTTCCTCCTGGTTCTGCACTCAGGAATTACTCCTGGCGGTGTTCAGGGGACCATATGGGATGCCGGGGATTGAACTTAAGCTGGTTGTGTGCATGAAGAGCACCTTACTCTCTGCTCTTGCTCCAGCCCTGTCTTTTTTTTTTTCTTTTTTTTTGGGTTCACACCCAGCAATGCTGAGGGCTTACTCCTGGCTTTGCACTCAGGAAACACTCCTGGCGGTGCTTGGGGGAACCATATGGGATGCCGGGGATTGGGGATCAAACCCGGGTTGGCTGCTTGCAAAGCTTATGCCTTACCCGTTGTACTATGGCTCCGGCCCCAGCCCTGGTGTTTTTTGTTTGTTTGTTTTTCCTGTTTGTTTTGGGGCTCGGAGAGCCCGGCAAGCTACCGAGAGTATTCGATATGCCAGACACAGTAACAACAAAGTCTCCAATGGAGACGTTACTGGGCCCGCTCGAGCAAATCGACGATCAACGGGAGGGCCTTTACCTTACCTTACCTTTTGGGGCCACACCTGGCGATGCTCAGGGGTTTATTGGTTCCTCTGCATGCAGGGATCACTCCTGGCAGTGCTCAGGGGACCGTATGGAATGTGGAGATTGAATCTGAGTCAGCCACAGGCAAGGCAAGCGCCCTACCCCTTACTCTCCTTACTCTCTCTCTGCTCCCCCCGCCCCTCCCCTTCCGCCTCCCCCACACACGATTTCTTTGTGGTCTGGCACCAGTCGGGGCCAAATCCCTTGGTCTCTGGTGTGTGGAGTTCCTGTGTACAGAGTAGGGACCCTCCCCCGTGCCCTCCGCCTCTGGCCAGAGCCTCCTTCTGGAAGGAGAGGAAGCTTACGGGGCATCTTGCTGCTGGCCCTGCCCTCTGCTCCCTTCAGTGTGGGGGAAGGTGCCAGGCGTCCACCCCCGCCATCTCCCCTGCTCGCCCTCTTGCCCTTTTGCCGTCCCCTTCCCCTCCTTCCAGGAGACCCTGTGGCTGCCCCCTGCCTTGGTTCTGCCGATGTCTGTGCCAGTTTGTCCCCCCGGGCACCGGCCGTGCCTTCTGCCTTTCAGTCCTGCCCTTTGCATGGTCCCGGGCCAGCTGCGGCACATCTGCCGGGCTCCAAGGCGCTGCCCTCCCGAAACGCAGCCTTGGCTAGTGTCACCCGCTCCCGTGCCCTCCCACCGCGTGTCCCCGCTCCCCGCCCGCCACCACTGAGATAAAAGCCCCTTCAGCGCAGAAAGGTGAGAAACGGGGACGACAGCTGCAGCGTCCACAGACCCGGCTTCTCCCTGAGGAGTGGAACAAACCCGCCTGTCAGGTCGGGCCGCCGCGCGTCAGATCAGATCGCCAGCTGCCGGGAGGCTCGGGGCAGCCTGACGGATGTCCTAATAGAGCGGCAGAGTTGGCCGAGCTTGGCGCGCGGGAGGCGGTGACAGCTGAAGAGCCCTTTGCTGCTGGACCGCGAGGCTGGCCCCGAGCTCCCGTGAGGGCCGAGGAGAAAGGCCAGTGAGGGGAGAGGCAGAGATAAGAGACGAGGCCATTCCTGGCTGCCGCTTGCGTGGGAAGGGGAGCCGGAACCTGCTCTGCCAGCCTCTCCCCCAGGATATGGAGACGGGGCCATCCCCCACCAGTGATCCGCAAGGGCCTGTGTGGGGGCTGGGGGGGGGTCACTCCTTACAGTACTCTGAAGGTCTTTGGGGGGGAGCGGAGGGTCACCCTCGGGTACCCTGAGGGTCTGTGTGGGGGTTGTGTTTATATGCATCGCCCGCTAGAGCCTTGCATGGTCCTGGGGTACAGTTAGGGGTGTGTGCTGGAGGGTGCAGGGGTGGAGTGGGGGCCTCACATGAGCAAGAGATAAGAGCAGCCCTGTGCCGCTGGACCGCGAGGCTGGCCCCGAGCTCGCGTGAGGGCTGAGGAGAAAGGCCAGCGAGGGGAGAGGCGGAGATAAGAGACGAGGCCATTCCTGGCTGCCGCTCGCGTGGGAAGGGGAGCCGGAACCTGCTCTGCCAGCCTCTCCCCCGGGATATGGGAACGGGGCCATCCCCCACCAGTGATCCGCAAGGGCCTGCTTGGGGGCTGGGGTCACTCCTTGAAGTAATCTGAGGGTCTGTGTGGGGGCTGGGAGGGGTCACTCCTTACAGTACTCTGAGGGTCTTTGGGGAGGGAGCTGAGGGTCACCCTTGGGTACCCTGAGGGTCTGCGTGGGGGTGGGATCACCTCGGGGTACCCTGAGGGTCTGTGGGGGACTGTTGGTCACCCTGGGGCACGCTGGGGGTCACTCCTAGAATACCCTGAGGGTCTGCATGGGGGTTGTGTTTACATGCATCGCCCGCTAGGCCCTTGCATGGTCCTGGGGTACAGTTAGGGATGTGTGCTGGAGGGTGCAGGGGTGAGCGGGGGGGGGGGGGGGGGGGGGGGCCTCGCATGAGCAGGAGATAAGAGCCCTTTGTCACTAGACCGCGAGGCTGGCCCCGAGCTCCCGTGAGGGCCGAGGAGAAAGGCCAGTGAGGGGAGAGGCGGGAGATAAGAGACCGGGCCATTCCTGGCAGCTGCTTGCGTGGGAAGGGGAGCCGGAACCTGCTCTGCCAGCCTCTCCCCTTCCCTTGGCTCACACTGAGGCGTCTGGAGGGGCTGGTGCTGCAGCTCTCTCTCTGCCCCTCGCTCCCCCGATGGCTTCTCTGCACCTTCTGAGCAGGAGGCGGAGGGCGGGGTGGAGGGGGGACAGCAGCCAGGACAGCCTGCCATCCTGTCACCCTGCCCTGTGTGTCACCAGCTCCCTGAGGCACCCCCAGGGCCAGGCAGGGGACTTGGGCTTGGGCAGAAACAGTCTGACCCATCCCTTCCTCCTCCCTGAAGCCGGCGTCCACCCCTCTGGGCAGAGATGAGGGAAAGGAGGGCAGAGGGTCCAGGCGCCCCCGCAAACTCTCCCCGGCGTCCTGCGGTTCCAGTGGTGTGTGTCCATCCCCTGCTCACGATCAGAGCACTTGGGTTCAAGATCAAGGCGAATCCACATGCCTGCCCCCACCGGCCTTTGCGGCAGCCGGGCCCTTCGACAGTGCTGCTCCTCCCGCCCCGCCCCTCCCCGTTTTTAGAACCAAGCCCTCCCCCACAGATCCTGGGCCCTCCGCTGTTCCTGGCAAACCCTGGATCAGCTCCCTGGAGAAGCACCCAGCTGGGGGGCCCTTGCGGGAGGGGGTGCCCTCTGGCCTGCGGGTACCCCCACCCCCAGCCCACCGTGGACCTGCTGGGTTGGCTGAACAAGCCCGTCTGTCCCCGCAGGGTACCGCTACGTGATCCTGGACATCCCCCTGCTGTTTGAGACCAAGAAGCTGCTCAAGTACTTGAAGCACACAGTGGTCGTGTACTGGTGAGCGGGGCTGGGACCCCCAGGCCTGGGTGGGCCAGTGTTGGAGGGCAGAGAATGAGGGAGGGGACAGCCCCCCCCCCCCAGTCAGTGCTTGGGAAGGGCGCCCCCTGCTGGCGGTCGGAGTGGCTGCCTTTACTCCTGCAGCCCGTGGTCAGCCCACATACCTCCCCGAATCCCTCTCCCTCCTCAGCTTTCCTGTGATGGGCCCGTTTCAGTCAGGGTGGGAGCTGAAAGCTGCAGAATGTAGAAAAGAAAGCCGGGAGCAGGGCTGCAGGGAGGGATGGAGGGGGCTCTCGCCTTGTACGCAACCAACCTGAGTTCCATCCCCTGTACCACACACATTTGGTCATCCGAGTTACCCCCGCCCCCCAGGAGTGATCCCTGAGCATAGCTGGGAGTGGCCCAACTGCCCAATAAAAAAGATTTCGCTGAAAAATCTTTATGAAAAAGATTTCACCACAAAATCTTTCCACTGAAACACCTTTTTTTTTTTTGTGAAGCAAGGTAGATTTTGTGGAACTAAGCTTGTTTGGAAAGCTATGAGAGGAGGGGCTGGAGCCTTAGCACAGCAGGTAGGGCTTTTGCCTTGCACACGGCCTATCCGGGTTCGATTCCCAGCATCCCATATGGTCCCCTGAGCACTGCCAGGAGTAATTCTTGAGTGCATGAGCCAGGAGTAACCCCTGTGCATCACTGGGTGTGATCCAAAAAGCAAATTAAAAAAAAAAATCTATGAGAGGAGAGGGGGGCGAGGAATGTGAATATGCCCAAGAGAGAACACAGGCTTCTCCCGAAATGGAAATCAGCATGCGGGAAGCGTGCTCTAGGGAGAACATGTGCCCGGAGAGCAAGCCGCCCCCAGATTTCTCTCTGATAAGCGAGAGAACACTCCGAGGGGGATCAGGACGGGCCGCCCCACCGTTGGGTCTCAGGAGGGGATCTGGCAGCCCGCCTCCGGGAGGAGCTTTGGTCCTGGAACCCTCCAGCACACAAAGCAGACCAGAATCAGGTGGCAAACAGGAGGCTCAGCTGTCAGGGAAAGTGGGTCACAGCCCCCACGGGGGGTGTGTATGCGTGTAGCGTCACCCACCTGCAGCCCCGAGGGCAGGGCTGGCGTGTAAAGCCCCATGGGACCCTTGTCCTCACAAAGGGTCTCCGACTCCCTCCCCCCCATCCCGCCCTCATTTTCCCCTGCTTCCCCCCCCACGCCTCCCCTGGCCTCCCCCTGGCTGTATCAGACTCCACCAAGCATTGGAACCTCTTGGCCTTGGCATCGTAGTAAAGCTGAAATTTTTTTTGTCGAGGGATGTTCTGTGCCACACCTGGCGATGTTCAGGAATCCCTCCTGGCAGTGCTTAGGGGACCATATGGGATGCTGGGCATCGAACCTGGGTTGGCCCCATGCGAGGCAAGTGCCCTCCTCCCACTGTTGTATCACTTCAGCCCCACACAATGGGAGTTTTGTGCCAAGCAATTGAAAGGGGCACTTGGAGTGCAGTGGGGCCACGGGTGGCATCTGCTGTCCCTGACCTCCTCCCCTACCCCCCAGCCCTGCCGCTGTCCCTTTCCTGCCTTGGCCTCCAGGTTGGCATCTGCCGAGAGCAGCAGTGACCGTGGCTGGTGCCAGGTCAGGCCCTGTAGGTTCTGCCACGCCCAGGGAGCACCTCCAGCTGCACTCACCGCCTCAGCGGAGCCCTGGTCATTGTCAGCGTTCTGGGGCCCGCCGTAACCCCTGCACAGTGCACGAGGGAGGCCCAGAGAGAAGGGCCCCCCAACAGTAGCGCTCGGGACACTGAGTGGTACCCAGGATCCGGCTTGGGCCCTGAGCGTGCCAGGCTCCTGCCCTTGGGGCTGTCTCCCCAGCCCAGGAGTTTTTCCTTTTAATGAAACATCTCCACGGGGCCAAAGAGAGAGGTCAGGGCTTAGGGCACCTCCTGGCATGTGGCTGACCCCGCTCCATCCCGGTCACCACAGAAGGTCCCATAAGGGGTGGAGCCATAGACAGCAGATAGGGCGGGCATTTGCCTTGCAAGCTGCTGACCCGGGGTCCCCTGAGCACTGCTAGGAGTGATTCCTGAGTGCATGAGTCAGGAGTAACCCCTGTGATTGCCGGGTATGACCCAAAAAGCAAAAAAAAAAAAAATGACCCATAAGCCCCACCAGAGGTCACTCAGGAATAGTCCCGGAGCATCCCTGGGTGTGACCAGATGTTCTCAAAAAGCCACTTGTCCAGAGATCCGCTGAGAGCAGGTGGCCAGAGCAGGGCTGACCGGCAGCAGAACCCTCAGGAGACCAGAAGAAGGATCTGCCCTGGCAGGCAGGTGGGCAGGGGGGACGCCATGTCACGCCCTGCTGAGCGGCCTCCCTCCGGCCCTGTCCCCAGTGACCGCGACACGCAGCTCGCCCGGCTCATGCGGCGGAACAGCCTGAGCCGGGAGGACGCAGAGGCCCGGATCAACGCCCAGCTGCCCCTGAAGGACAAGGTGCACTTGGCCGGGCACGTGCTGGACAACTCGGGCGAGTGGAGCCTCACCAAGCGCCAGACCGTGCTGCTGTATGCCGAGCTGGAGCGCTCGCTCGAGTACCTGCCACTGCGGCTCGGCATCTTGGCGGGCCTGGCCTGCGTCATCAGCCTCCTGCACCTGCTGGCCCGCTGCCTCATGGCCCACGCGCCTGCATAGGCGCCCGGGGACCCCCCATCCCCTCCCCGCTCCCCGCCCCTTCCTCCCGGAGTCCTCCCCACCGCCAGCTAGTGCTCCCCACCCAGCCCCGGGCCCCCGCGCTTGGCTCCGCTCCCCAAGCACCATCCCCGCGGGCCCGGAACTGAGACCAGGTCTGTTTCGTGGGGTGGGCTGAAGGGGCTCCGTCCCCCTGGGGCCCTCCCGGGTTTAGGAGGGTCCCCACCTTGACCTCTCTCTGGGCAAAAGTTCCATCAAGGTCCTGCCCAGGCAGCCCTGGATGCTGTGGTCCTGTGGCCGGGCGGGTGGGGAGGGGGAGAGGGTGGGCCTCTTGGGAAACCGCCCACCACGACCCCAGTCTCCTGCATGCCTCCGCCCCGCCCTGCCTCGTCCACCCCAGGTTCTGGCTTGACCCTGGTGCCGCCCATTTTCCTGCTGTCTCTCGCCTCTGTGCCTTTGCCCACCTGCCGTCCCTCTCCCTCCTTGGGGCTGGACACCACCTGACAATTGTCCCCAGATCCGTGGGGTTGGGGCCTCCTTAACTGAGCCCTGGGAGGGCAGGGACCCTGCTGTCCCCCTCCTATCTGGGGCCCGGCCCAACTCGCCTCTGTCTGGTGCTGAATAAAGTGTGTGAAGCTGAGGGGCTGGCTCCCCTTACACCCCAGCGCTGCGGTGGGGGAGGGGCAGGGCCGCACTTCCCTTCCCCCCGCACTCCCCCCCCCAACACACACACACATACTCCATCTTCCTGGCCTGGCCCAATTAGAGCTGCTGAGACACCGGCCTCGCCCCACCGACGTGCTGCCCGTGCGGCCAGCAGCCTATTAAGGCCAGAGGCAAGTGTGACGGATGGGACTGCGGCGGTGGCTGTGCTCGGTGCCCTCTTCACAGGACCTCGGAGATGAGGAACCAGCTCGTTATGGCAAACCCCAAGGAGCAGAGAAAGGCTGGACCGGGCAGGCCAGAATGACAGGCTGCTGCTTCCCCCGGGGCAGGGTGGGCTGGGGGACTGGCTGAGGAGCAGTCTGGATTCTCTTAAGTGCTCCCACACTGGAGGAAATAACCCTTTGTGCACGTGGCCCTGGCTGACCCGTGACCCTTTCAGGGGTGCTGATGAGGAGAGGGCTCTGGTTTGGGCCAGTCTCTCCTTGTCACTCTGCTGGGCTGTTCACGGCGCTGGTGATGGACCCTCACGGTGTAAGGCCTGAGCCTAGCCCCCTCGCTTCCTGCAGGTGGGCTGGGAGATGCCCATGTCCAGGGCACCGGAAAGGCCTCTGCAGACTGTAAATCCTGTGACCTGGTGGGCGTCAGGGATGCGTGGAGACAGGGTGGGTCCTTCCCGTCCTGCTCACTCCTCGCAGGCTCCCTTGGCCAGTTTTGCCCTAGAAGGTGCTCCAGGAGCTAGCAGGAGGTGAGCGCCCAGCCGGCCAGCAGGTGGCAGCACCTGCCTGGGTTGGGGTCGGGCCTCCAGCACCCGAAGGTGTGTGACTTTGTCCTGGCCTGTGCCTGGCCAACAACCTAGTCTCCAGCGTGAGTGTGGGCCTACCCAGCTGCAGTCACTCTGTTGGCTGCAACCCCACCCCTTGGGGATGGGTCTCAGTCCACGCTCCAGCTCCACTTGGGGTTTTACCTCCTGGCACCAGTCTGCAGGTGACGGACCCCAGGGAGCCTCAGCATTCCTGGTTCAGAACACGACACCAGGCTGGAGCAATAGTGCAGCAGGTAGGGCGTTTTCCTTGCACATGGCCAGCCTGGGTTCGACTCCCAGCATCCCATAATGTCCTCCGAGCACCACCAGGAGTAATCCCCAAGCGTAGCTGGGTGTGACACAAAAAGAAAAAGCAAAAACAAGGCACCGGCACCGTCTTGCAATCTCTCCCAGCTGTGAATGCGGGAGGAGGGCTGGATTAGACCTAGACCTGGGGTGAATTTGGGGGTTCCCGGGCCCGGGTATCCAGACCAGGTGCCCCCACCATGAGCCTCTGGTAATGCAGCCATGGCTGGAGATAGGGGGAGAGGTTACAGCTCCGTCATGAGTGCCTAGCACCCCAAGTTCTCAGCAAGACAGCATGGACTAACCCAGGGGCGGCAGGGGTGTGCGCTGGCCATCGGTACAGGGATGGGGGGGGGCAGCAGGGGGCTGCAGGAGCTGAGTGGCGGTGGAGGGGCTTTTCTGTCCCTCCTTGCTGGTGGCTTCCTTTATCCCCCCCACCCCAGGGTGGGCTGCACCCAGCAGGGACCCTGAGAGCCTCCTCCCGGCTTCTCCCCTCCCTCCCTGTCGCTCAGATTCCAATACAATTTCCAGCTAACCAGCATGTCGATAGAACAAGTTGGCGGCCGGATTGCGGCCAATTACAGGAAATCATTCTGCTCCACAGCTCAGCGCCCAGGGAGGGGAGGGAGGTGCGGGCACCCTGTGGGCTGGGGAGGGACTTACCCGGGGAGCAGAAGTGAGGGGGGCCCTCTCCTCAGCCCCAAGAAGCCCCAATACCCTGGCCCCAGGTCGCACAGACAGCTGGAAGCTGAGCAGGGGGTGGTGAGGGTGGTACCCCCCAACCTGTCCAGGAGGCTTCCTGCAGGGCCCCTGTTCGTGCACCTAGAGTTGCCCCAGAGGATCCTGCTGCGGGTCTCCCAAAGAATGGAAATATGGGAGGGCCCACCTCCCTGTCCCTTGGCCTTCCTCCTCACCTCTGACCCCCCAGGGACCCCAAATCTCGCCACCCATCTGAGTCTGCCCCTCCCCTGGTGACTCCTCAGCACCCCTTTTCTAGAATTCTTTTGGGCCACACCCTGGTACCCAGAGAGGGATTGAAGCCCAGATCCCCATGCTTGCTGGGACCCCAGCCCTTTGAGTCATTCACGAGCCCTGCAGAACTGCCTGAGCCCTGACAGGAGCAGACCCTGATAACCGGCTCCCAGCTCACAAGCTGGCCCAGGAAGGTCGGGCCCATACAGAACCTTCCCTGCTGGGGTGGGAAGAGCACTTACCTCAGAGGGCCAGCCGAGGTCCCATCCCTGACTGCCCCTAGGCCCCCTGAGCCTGCCAGGAGTAATCCCTGAGCACAGCCAGGGGTGGCCCCAAAACAAAAAGAAACTTTCCTTGGGGCTGAAGCCCCCCCACCCCACCCCCGTTTCCTGCTGGACTGTTTGTCTCACCCCACCCCCAAGGAGGCAGCTGCTGCCCCAAGATCCCGCCACCTACCCAGGGCCCCTCCCCCCACCCCCAACCCCCGCCGCCAGGCCCCCAACTCCAGGCCCCTCTGCCCTTGCCCTGGGGACAGCTCCTGTGTCAGGAGATGGGGGGCTGCGCCCTGGAGCCCACCCCCACGCTCCCTGCTTGAGTGCGGTTGGAGGTTCAGGTCGGGCGGTGGGGCGACCCCCTGCTGCGCTGACCGCAGCTTCCCCGGGCCCCATGAAGGGGTGCGCGGTGACCCGAAGGGGGCGCGCGGCTCGTCCTTCGCCGCGCTCCCTCCCGCTCCCGCATCGATCGGGCGCGGCACCGCCCCCCGCCGGCCGCCCCCCTTCTGGCTTTTCGCTTTTAATTGAAGTTTGTTTGAGCAGAAAGCGGAGCAGGCAGAGGCAGAAACCAAATATTTAGTTGCTGCAAATTGGCACCTCCAGATCAATTACCCGGCTGGTGTCAGGCCGCGTTCCACCGCACGCTCCCGTCAGCTCGGCCGCACGTCAGCCGCAGCCCGGGCGCAGAGTCACGGCCGGGGTCCCGCGCTGCCCGGGGTCCATCCCATAGGGTCCATCCCATAGGGCCCCCGAGCACCGCCAAGAGTCGTTCCTGAGTGCAGAGCCAGGAGTGACCCCTGAGCACCACCGGGAGCGACGCCCCCCCCCCAAAAAAAAAGCAAAGAAAAAAAAATGTTCCCCTGGAGTGACGGTCCCTCAGCAGCTCCCCCCACCCCCACTTCTACTATCTGGCCCCGCAGTGCAAAGGGACCCCGGAAGCAAGGACTTCGTGGGACTCAGTCCAATCCCAGCCACAGTGACCCCCGCCCCGGCCTCTGCTCACTCGCAGGGGCGCAGCACAAGATGCTCAGGCACAGAGACAGGGCCAGCCCTGCAGGGGTGGGGAGAGATGGGGTGGGGGCAATCAGGCTCTGGAGTAAGGTGAGGGGTCCTGGGTTGCATGTGGTGCAGTTAAATTACTGAAAATTCAAAGGGGCTCAGGATGTAGAGTTGCGGGCTGGGTGGCCAGCACCTCTCCTGGACAGTGCCCCCAACTCAGCCTCCTGCGGCCGTTTTCAGGGAGGACCCAAGTCTCAGCCCTCGCGAGGGAGGAGACTTGAGGTGACCCGCATCCACCACTGTCAAGACAAGGGAGGGACAGGTAGGGCCTTCTGGGGGTCCGCAGAGGCGAGCCCCAGCCAGTGGGATGCAGGGCAGGACTGAGCCGGTGGCCACACCTTCCCCTCAGCCCACCAGGGTAGGGGTAACACTCTGCCTGTGTGATCCCTGAGCTCAGAACCAGGGGTAACCCCAGGACACCGCTGGGCGTGGCCCCCAAACAGAAAACCAAGAATGTGGAAGAGGCGCAAGTCAGAGAAGGGGTATGCCCAACAGGTGGGGTCTGTGACTCTCCTGCTCCCCTTGGCTTCCCTTCTGAGTGCAGTGCCCCTGGAGGGAATGGGCATCAGCATCAAAGAGATTATTTTTAATTTGTTCTTGTGGGGGCCACACTCAGAGTGCAGGGTCCAGGCATACTCGGGGCTGGGGGGTGGAGTGGTGCTGGGGATCGAGTCCAGGTTCTCACACAGACCAGCCTGTGTGTTACCTCACAAGCCACCATGTTAACTTGTGTGGATGGGTCACTCCTGGTGGTGCTTGGGGCCGTTCACGCCCAGGTATTGTACTCAGGTCTGAGCACAGGCCAGGCCCGTGCTCTCCCACTTCAGCAAAAATGATTCAAAGAGCCCTTCAGAAAAAAAATACTGGGGGAACGGAGTGATAGTACAGTGGATCGGGCACTTATCTTGCACATGGCCAACCCGGGTTTGATACCCAGCATC